ATAAACGGGGTACGAGTGTATAATAACGAAGTTTTATATCGATAAGACAATAATAACTTTGTTATAAATTCAGTAATCTTTCCATTTTGGGATAAATCAGGACCCGACTTTGTTGACATACTAATACGAGTTTGTTCACAACCCAGTTTCAGCTATCTACTTTACATGAAGAGGAAGAGAATAGAGTGTAATTGGTGGTAGGTGTGTGTTTTTGTTCAGAAAACAATTTGACTATTACTGAGTATACAGTACAAACAATTTCTACTTGAAACAGTATTAGTAAACTAATTACATTTGGTGCAGAGAAGCATCATAACATTTGTAAGACAGAGTGATTATTATTATGAATTCAATAAAATGGAGCATTATAAACAAATAATGTTATATGTTCGATTGCTCATTATCATTATTATTTTTAACTCAATTGTCTTAAGAGAGCAGACAATTGAACGTTGCATTCAAGCCTTGTGTTTTTTTCTTAACAGTAATTCGTCAAATGACCATTATACATTAGCAGTAAATAAAGTCAAATCGGTTGTGCAGATCAGCAGATATTAATATAGATAGATATTTGTTTTGCAGATTACTAATCAATCACATGACATTTGCCCAATAGAATTCTGTAATGCTCTTTATTTGAAAATTACAACACGTCCGACACTTTAAATTCCGGGTCAAAATCGTCCCTTAAAAACTTTAACGTTGAACTCGGAAATTAATGTCGCAGGTTGAACAGCACGTACTTAGCATGATTCTGTATCGATCAGGTTGAGTTCATCTTCTTTAAAAGATTGGCCTCTCTTATCTCGAGACACTTGTTTATTATTATGTGCAGTTGTATAAAGAATGTTATCAATAATAACATGAAACAATAGGATTATGGAATGTTACATAGAATGTTGCCGCCGTATGTTTCATTTTCCTTAAAAAATCGTTTATGTTGCTTTTCAAATGCCACCTGACACGCATATAGCAAAAATTTTACGTCTCAATTGCTTTTTCTAATAACCTTTTGTTTGAGAAGAATCTCACGATAAAGCTTTACCCGGCAAGTAGTGGTAATGATGGTGCACGACGCCTTGGACGAGCGTTTTGACAAAATGTTATGACTTTTGCGAGACTTTGAAAATAACTAACAGTTTTTTTTGTCACTATTTGTCTATTACAGCCATAGTGTTTGAAAAGAAAAGAGAAAAAAGATCCGTAAGTAATAGTAATACATACGTACATATATTAATACGGGTAAAACGAGAGAAAACGTGAAATCTGTTAGCAGGCACCAAGGCTGCCCTTATATGTTTTGAAATACAGTTGTCATTCACCAAGAGTATCCACAGTCTTAGATGTCAGTAGTAGGAATTTATAATACATTACACTTAATTTGGACACAGCTTTCCGAGGCCATCGAATAATCAGTTCATAGCGTGACAAAAAACTACGACTAATTTTATTGTGAATATCAATGTGGATATTTATTTCTAAAAATAATTGTTTATACTGTAATTTACGATAACATAAATGCGACTAACTAGTCGACAAACAACTGATAAATTATTTACACGAATATTAATGTCATCGTTATTCTGTTGTTCAAAAAACGATAAGACGTTCTCATTTCTTCTGCATCGGAATTATCTTTTGTTTTAGAATATCTTTCCTGCTTTTTTGCGGCAGTCGGATGTGTATAGGGCCTGAAAAGCGAAATTTTTTTCCCTTCGGATGACTTAAAGAAATAAGCGTCACCGAATTCGATTTTAAAATTTGTTGAAATTGTACGACTCGAGATAAGATAAACCCAGCCAAAAGATTGAATATTCAACCATCCAAAATGACGCGAGTGTCCTTTGGGAATAACCCTATTTTTCTACGAATCTTCCCCCACGGGCAGCGGACTACGCGACGGGTACCAATAAAATTTTTTTTCAATCACGGGACCAAAAGTTCACGCCGAATATTACATTAATATGGGTATGATCTGAAATCTTTTGATTTCAGTTGATCGTTTACAGAGTCCAGCGTCAAGCGTCCGGATTACCGAAAGGCTGTTGATAGTAATAGCAGTTGCATTTCCAGGTAAGCTTCTCATTGCAATATTATGCGGGAACAAATTAATTACTTATAAAAGTCATGAAGAAATGTGCTTCTGGTTAACCTTTTTTTTATTACATTATGATAGTGTATTGATAAATATGCTATATGTATCTCAGAAACACGAAATCAATCTCAATCGCTAGTATTTTTATTCAACAACAATAATCATATGATTGTAAAATTTATAACGATAACTGCTATCAATGTGTGTGCGAAAATTTGACATGGAATATAAGCACGCGATCCACTTGGTTTTCGAAAAGCAAAATAAATAATAATAACATCCTACATACAAGAACGTCTCTAAATTATCAAATGCATTAGCAAAATTATCAATGACATAATGAGGTGTAAGAATGGTCTCAAAATGTGGGACAATCTCTAACAATGAATTATACGGAGACTTACGATAGTTTATTATAGAGAAAATGAAGAAAAGGGATCGAGAGATTGTTTCCGACTTATCGAGTTTCACTATCTATAAATATGAGACCTAATTACATTAAATCCATCACAAAGTCAAAGAATTTCAGTATGATTATACCTGGTTCAACGAACCTTTTCCAGACACTCTTTAAGCTTCTCTACGCACTTTGCATTAAGTTGACAATAAATTCACTCAAATTCGTACCACACGTAATAACAATTGTAAAACTTTTTTGTTTGAACGTTATTATTGTGGTTTGCTGTCTATCGACAGCGTGGTAGTATGAATGAGAGACCATATTCTTATTAAGTTGGGACATTTGCGAGTCTTGCCCTTTATTTTAAACTTTGATTATGAATTGTAAAAGATTAAGGGACATAGTTTATACTTTTCGCATTATCCATTATGAGCCTGACGAATCAAATCCTTCGGACTGGTATAGTCCCGATTACTCTTGGTATTGTACTGGGGATATTAAAAATAAAGGAGAAGCAAAATTCAATCGGTATATATCAGAAACCGAACCAAAAATATAGGTAATTATAACCATGTAGGAACGGAGAGGCATTGGGCTACTCATTGTACAGGAAATAGCTTATGGTGTAAGTTATGATGAATATTTACTGAAAATCAAACAAAATCTATTTCGGGATATATTTATGATAATGAGTATCATTACATCGTTATGAATTGTGGATGCAGAATACTATCAGAAAAGCTAAATGTGCCAAAGAAATTGCTAAGAAAATTCGAAGCATGTACAATAATACAACGTAAATTAGAAAATCGTTACGACTATCTGAAAGTTGAGCAACAGACAGCTCACCAGTATTGAAGGTTTTGTCTCACTATCGCCCATAGCAACGTCCATTGTGGCGTAATGCTTGAGAGTTAATTAAGAGTTGAGCAGGAACGAAAAGCATGGAGAGAGAGAGGTTGTTCTCTGAATTGGAACATCATGTGAGCGTGTATTGGCTTATCGGAAATTTATTAAATTTTCTTCCGCATGATCTGATAAAAGAAAATTGGCTAATAAACGGTAACGACATTTTTGCAATAGAAACCCCATAGGAAAGAAGAATAAGCTGTTATGAAACCAATGTCATATCAACGTGCTAGAGCTTGCGAGATGTATTGGTGTAGTATGATCCCGACCACAGTATAGTGTCAGACAATAATAACTATTTTTTTTGGATATGATATTTTCAACTAGCAGCATACTCAAGAGTCTTGTACTGAGTTCATTTAGTCAATGCCATTTGCTAGAGTTATCACCTTTTTTTTATAAAGCGCGTGAAAAATGTTTATATTAAATGAATTGCATCGTTCGATGATAGAACTTTTTTCCCCTTCAACAAGTAAATTCAGGTTTTAAATGTCAAATGTAAATAGCGAAGAGAAAATAGACAACCAGATTTAGTACATGTGTTTTCTTGTAATTGGCAAATTTTAATTTTCCTTGTAGACATTAGTGTTGCGTGCATCAATACGGTTTAATGTCACAAGGAATGTTCAAAGGCAAATTGGGATGATAATTTCTTCATTCTATAAGATTCCTGTTGATAACAAATATTATACCATTCATTGCTAATGTTTCCAACTAATTTCTGATTGCATTGCCAGTATTTTGCTGTAAAGTGTAACAATTATGATGATGTACATTATGGGGGCGTGCTGCAACAAAACCAGACAAAGTGAACATAGTAATAGTGAGTAAATCAAACTAGTAAAAAAATTCATCCCGCCGCTCCCCCTTTCATACTTACAGTCAACTGCCTATAATTCGATTCGATCTTCCGATAATTCGAACGTTTAGAGCGGGAACGGGGCGTTATCCATATTAATATTGTATTTCTCCCTCTTATTCGAACAATATATGTGATTTTTCTATAATCGAATTCGACCGGTCAACCGTATACGTTAGCATTGTTAAAACATTCGTTACAGCTTAAACTGTGAATAAAAGTTTCTCGTGATAGTTAAAACATTCGTTAATCATATACGTTTAATTCGAACATTGTTAATTTTCTAATATAATTCAATTTTTCAGGTTAACAAATGAGACTAATGATGCAACGTAAAAATAACAAGCGTTCCAAACCTTATAAACAGCTAATTAATCAGGTCGCATGCCAGCGTAGGTCACAGTGTAAACAAACTTCTATTGAAAATTACGTAAATTTACATTAATATTAACCGAGGGGGGTCTCAAAATTTTCTATGACGTCACGCAATGTTCTGGTAAAATCTACTAGCTGCGAAAAAAGGTTTCTTCCTCTTTTTTCGTTACGGCTATACTCGGACGCCCCCTAACGTATCCTTTTAGTCTTTACGAGGTCTCCATTTTGAAAGTTATGGATGGATGAATAGAGATTCGCTCGTTAGATTCGCATGCAAGAAAATATTATTGGTTCCTTAACTATTAAACGCCTTTGATGGTAAATGTCTCGACTAGTTTGCTGTCTCCATAATTTTGGCAGTCATGTCTAAGTTGCCAGCTTGCCTAAATGGTGGGTTATATTTAGAGTAAAAATTCTTGCGTAATGATAAGAGCGAGGCATTTGATTTAATCAAGTCGAGAATCTTTACTTCAATAGCCACTGAGGAGGATATTAGGTACCTACTTGCTGCCCAGGCACATATTGGTGCCAAGAATCTAAATGTGAAAATGATTCCGTACGTGTGGAAGCGTCGCCCTGATGGTAAGCAAGAAATCCTGCCTTCGACGTCGATTTTATATCAGAGAGTTGCTTATCAATAATGCTACCATGATTATCTCAACTCTATGTAATTTAACATAACAATAACCTTCACGACTATCTTAAAAGGCATCCACATAATTAACATCGGAAAGACATGGGAAAAGCTCGTCCTCGCAGCACGCGTAATTGCTGCAATCGAAAACCCATCCGACGTAGTAGTCATTTCTGCTCGTCCATATGGTCAAAGAGCAGCGCTCAAATTCGCTTCATACACAGGAGCTCAGGCAATTGCTGGAAGATTCACTCCAGGCACATTCACCAATTACATAACGCGTTCGTTCAAAGAACCTCGTTTGATCATAGTTACTGATCCACGTACCGACCATCAAGCTATCAAAGAGGCTTCTTACGTCAACATCCCAGTTATTGCTCTAGCCGATACTGACTCTCCGATGAGATTTGTCGATATCGCCATTCCTGCCAATAACAAAGCCAAGCATTCTATTGGATTGTTGTACTGGATGTTGGCTAGAGAAGTTAAACGTTTGAAAAACCAAATTCCTCGCGACAAACCATGGGATGTAATGGTTGATATGTTCTTCTACCGTGATCCTGAGGAAACGGAAAAAGATACCGAAGCTTTGGCACCTACCGAGAAGACACCTTCTACGTTTCCTATGCAAGAAAGCACTTGGGATACTGAGAACGTTACAAATGATTGGGAAGCAACCGGTACTGCTGCCATTGGAGGTGTCAATCCATCGATAGTTGCTACGATCGCTACCAATAATCCAACAAGTAGTGGATGGGATATGCCTGATGCGGATGATTCTGGTGGCTGGGCAGACACTACCGGTACGTTCACTGCTGTCAGTGAATCCTTTGCCGAGCCTCCTGTTCCTGTGGAGCCAACAACAGCTGTGTTTGATGAAACGAACGCATTCGACACTACTGGAGGCGATTGGGCCGACGATACGAATAATCCTTCTACCGGATGGTAAATACCTTAAAGTAAGAAGAAAAAGTAGGAGGGGGGTTGTTCTGTAGATGACTCGAGTTAGGGTCAAGTCAAGGCATGACGAATAGTTGCATTTATCGATAATGATTGTTAGAATATCTCACAAAGTGGCACTATTGGTTGAGTAAATTGATTAAATTTATTCAAAATTTATCCGCTGATTGATATTACAGTGACTTGTTATGTTTTTAACACCATGCATATTTCTCATTCAGTAACCATTCTATGTCTCCGTTATTATCATGATACCATGCGAGTGACGGCAAGGAATGCTCCCTTGCTACAATCTCGAATTCATCACTGTTTAATACATCGGCGATATTCGCATTCCATATGATTACTTTATCTAAATTGTGTTTCAATGCTTCCATCTGAGCTTGCCTAAGCAAGGCTCTAGTTACCTGGCGATTGCTCCCCCTTAACCTCAAAATTAGCAATTGCTTTTCATTGAACTCATGACTCCACAACACAAAGTCTAAACTATCATCTCTGCTCGACACAACAGCCCCCCACTCAGTAGGTTCGTCAATATCGCATGCCTTTGCAAAGTACTTAGTCCTCATAATCATCCATTCAATGCAAGGCGCACTCGGTACTACCGCCAAGGCTCTCCGGCCAGTGTATCTCATTTCTAGTTTAAGCAATCCACAGTCTTTTTCAGCGATATGCTTGATATCGTTATATTTGATGGGAGTAAGGGTCACATTTCCCTCATATTCAATTGGTTTAGACACATCGAGCCGAATTTCCGTATGGGAATATACTTGCCATCCTAATCTCTTGTAAAACACTGGACCAACATCACTATATAAAAACGAAAAGCTGGCTCCTTGTTCTTTGAACTTATTTGATAATAACAATAACATTGTCGATGCGTAACCATTGTTCCTATTTGACGGAGGAGTGAACACTGATGCGATACTGTAACAAAGATATTCTTCAATTACGCCCGGAGAGATTGTGACAAAGGCTGTGCGTCTGAAGGTCTCACATGAACAGACGATATCCAATGTATTAGGATTCTCTTTAGGTACTAATACCCACACAATGAATTTATCTCTTGTAAAATCAAGATTGGCTAAAATAGTCTCACGTTCTAAATACTGGTCTAATGAGAGTCCTTTACCCCATTCGACAAATGTGTTCCTGTTTGTTATCTTTGTTTGCTCGGCATTGGCCTTTACAATAGTCAAATGTGGATGTTTAAGGGACATTTTAGACAGAGAGTACTTGTCACGTGCAGATGCAAATTATAAATATATGCTGTGTCATGTCAAACCGATTTATTTTAGTATAATAATAAGCAAATCAATTGTATGATGTCAAGCATTTAGGATGGTAATTATGATAGTAATAGATGTTTCAGGAAGTTTCAAAGATGGTAAGTTTCAAAGTTGAATTGTTTTGATTTCTGTCATATTTTATTTTTTTACTAAAATTGAAAAGTTGATCTTTATGGCGTTTTCTAATTTTATTTAGCAACTTGAATACCGAGTTTGCCGTCAATCATCTTTTTTTACTCCATCCATTCTCCGATTGGGTCTGGCAGAAAGGGGTTCCGGCAATCATAATCACATGACCTATACTTCCCATCCGTCCAATAAGTATTGGAAGCCTCATTTCTCCATCGTTGTCAAAGGACAGTTTAGCAAGTTACTTGTGGACATTGATTATTTCATCTCATCTCTTAGTAAAACAACCCATGCCGAGTTCGGATGACGACGTTCCCCTCGCTGCTCGCAAGAATAAAAAAGCGGCAACCAGGAAACAACCTTTACGAGGTACTATAACACTTCATATTACATGGGCCTTTGAATATTCAGAAAATTGCTCATACCTTGCTGTCCTCTACAGTCTCTCCGAAAAAAGCAGCGACTAAAAACAATAAAACTCAGGTATAAAATAATAGGCGAATGTACAGCTACCTAAGGCTTTACTTTCTGTGATGTATACAAAGTATCATCTCTTGCGCTATCGTTCTTCAAACCAGCCCATACGCAACTAATCCTTCACGTTCATATCAGACTAAAAGAAAGCGCGTAGATTCGGACTCCGAGTTCGAGATTAAATCTTCGTCTGTGAAAGCAAATAGCAGTAAAACAAACGGTACATCGAAAAAAGCCGGACCACCGCAGAAGAAAAATAAGAAACGGAACAATGAAAGCGATGATGACTTTGTTCCTAATGGAATAAAAGTCGAGAAAGATATCGACGGTGACGTTATAATGAAAGATGCCAAAGTTAAAGGGGTCGAAAAAGAAGAATCGGAAGACGATATTCCTCTTGCCAAGCTAACAAAGAGTAAGTTATACGTTTGAGCTTCTATATATTGATGATTCAAATCCTAATTGTTGATCTTTCATCTTGTGCAGGAAATTCAAAGGCAAGCCATGTGTATTTATGTAAATTACCTTATAATAAATCCGTTCTTGTCATTTTACTTATTTATTACCTCGCATTGCATACTACGAAAACGCAATCTTTCCTCATCAAATAATAGGGCAAAACAAATGGTGTCACACCTAAGCGCACAAAGAGCGTCGCAAAGGATGTTGGGAGTAAAAAGAAAGGGAAGGCCATTGTTAAGAAGGAAGAGGAATACGAAGATAGCGACGATGATGAAGGCTATAGATGGTGGGAAGAGGAGAATGCTGAGAATGATGGATCAGTCAAATGGCAGACTTTAGGACACAACGGAGTGTACTTCCCGCCTGAGTATAAACCTCATGGAGTTAAAATGAAATATAAAAGTAAGCAGCTGGCACATTATGTAGAGTATGCGTATGCAGATAAACAATAGCAAACGTATGACTGACTATTTTTACCTCCGGGTATTATAGACAAGGAGATATACCTGACACCAGATGCAGAAGAAGTTGCAACGTTCTATGCCGCTATGCTCGACACTGACTATGTTAAAAAGGAAAAATTTAGGGCAAATTTCTTCCGAGACTGGTTGGAAGTCTTAGCAAGTTCAAATAAGGTTTATAGCCAACTATTTATCATATTATTCTGTTTTTAATGGCCAATTTTAACTCGATTCCTTTGAATGTAGAACCCAAAGATCGAAACCTTGGAAAAATGTGACTTTACTCCAATATACGAATATCTTCAGAGAGAAAAAGAACGCAAAAAGTCCATGTCTAAAGAGGAAAAGCAATTACTCAAGCAAGAAAAGTTGGCGCTTGAAGAGAAATATGGATATTGTAAACTTGACGGTCGTAGGGAAAAGGTTGGAAACTTTAGAATTGAACCCCCGGGCCTGTTCAGAGGTCGGGGGGACCACCCGAAGAGCGGGAGTCTGAAGGTGTGTACCCGTATACGTCCTTTCGGTTTATGCATATAACAGAACATTTATACTAACTTTACACGCTCCATTAATTATAGAAAAGAGTTTTGCCTGAAGAGGTTACTATTAATATTGGTAGTGACTCACCAGTTCCTCCACCGCCTCCTGGACATAATTGGGGTAATGTTGTCCATGACAATACGGTTACTTGGCTAGCTACGTGGAAAGAAAACGTCAATGAATCTGTGAAATACGTATTTTTGGCTGCCAATAGTTCGCTTAAAGGTCAAAGTGACTTGAAGAAGTTTGAGAAGGCGCGTGATCTTAAGGTATTCGTTGAGAAATACAGCTTAATGTGTCTCCAACACTTTTATAAGATTTTGTTTGTTTTTCTAATGGCTCATTGCTTTTATAGAAATATGTTAGTAGAATACGATCGGAATATAAGCGTGATCTCAAAGACAAATATATGGCCATTCGTCAACGTGCTACTGCTATGTATCTCATCGATCGGTTTGCTCTTAGGGCAGGAAATGAGAAGAACGATGCAAAAGAAGCAGATACTGTTGGTTGCTGTTCATTACGTTGCGAACATGTGACTCTTGAACCGCCGAAGGCAGTTATCTTCGACTTTTTGGGTAAAGACTCTATTAGATATTATAACAAAGTCGAAGTCGATGATCAAGTGTTTAAAAATCTTCGATTATTCACTCGATCGCCAAAAGAGCCAAAACATCCCCTGTTCGATCGATTGAATGTAAGTTAATGTTAAATTATTATCGACTTTATATACCGCTTGATAAATATAAACAAACTCTTATTTCATTTTGTTAGACTTCGCTCTTGAACAAGCATCTTCAGACATATATGGATGGACTTACAGCGAAAGTCTTCCGTACATACAATGCTTCCTATGTGTTCCAGAAGGAGCTGGATGCAAACACACCGATTGATGGATCCATTCATGACAAGATTTTGGCCTATAATCGAGCTAATAGGCAGGTGGCTGTTCTTTGTAACCATCAACGAAGTGTCAGTAAAGCACATGAGAATCAAATGGGTAGAATAAAAGATAAAGTAAGTCTCCCGTGCAAATAATACAATAGCAATTGGTTACAATTTAGTCGATGAAAGTTGTAATCATTAGTTTGAGTTACGACTGATGACTGATTGAAACGATTTGTCTGATAGATACGGGCTTTGAAATACCAGAAGATGAGGTTGAAGAAAACTATCTTAACAATAGATCCCAAACAGAAGAAGAAACGTCCTGATTTATTACAAGAAGAATCCGATCTAGAGGAGGATTGGATAATTGAATACGAGAAACAGTTAATCGAGAAAGAGCGAGATAAAGTACGAACTAAATTTGAAAAAGATAATGAGAAACTCACCGCTGATGGCAAGAAGCCGCGGCCAGATAAAGAACTTGATTCTCTTCTTAAAGAAGTTGGCGAGAAGGCCAAGCAGTTTGCAAAAGAGCGAAAGAGTGGCAAGATTGAACCAAAACGAGGACAAACTCTTGAAAAGCTGGAAGCAAGCATTGTAAAATTAGATGAGAGGATCAATGCAGCAAAGATTGCGATGGTTGATAAGGATGAGAACAAGGAGACAGCGTTGAGCACGTCAAAGATTAATTATATTGATCCTCGTATTTCCGCTGCGTGGTGCTACAAACACAAAGTGCCGATTGATAAAATCTTTAACAAGAGTTTAAGAGAGAAATTTAAGTGGGCAATGGATGTTAGTCCGGATTGGGTAAGTGATGATAGACGGCGGAGCCGTACTACCGATTGTATATTAACACTATTACTTTCTTCGTTTATAGGAGTTCTAATTGCACGACCTTCGAAGATAAGAGACTTTCCCGCCTTCCCTTCGCAATTAAACTTTTATACAGTCAGCCCTCCATTTAAGCACGCTCTCGGGAATGGATCAGAGCGTGCTTGAATAGAGGGATGCATGAATAGAGGGTTAGTTTTGATTGATTGATCAACAGATATTTATTTAATCGTAAAAAGATGAGTAACTATTGCTGATTAAAAACTCCTTGTTTCAACATGTTCATTGATTTTAAACTAATGTAATGATCTAGTGCATTAATATGTTTGAAGAAGTCTTTAGAATCTTCTTGCTTTGTAGAAAGAAGGAATAACTTCCGAATTGCTTTCAGCGTCACTGCAGTTGCAATTGGTAATTCAATACCATCAACATCAACTTTGTTGTCGTCAACATGCATATCTGATGGTTTTCTGTATATTTCAACTACCTAAATAAATTTGTCATCATTGGGCACTTCATAAACTGTTTTTTCTTCTGTCATTCAAAAAGATCCGTAACAATGTGAGTGAGTGAGTTCGCTGAAAGTTTAGTGGCCGTTACAACAAAGCTCACTTGATCAGCATTGACGTTAACTGGTATAATTCGAACAAATTGCGATGGTTAACGGTGTTACGTCTTTCCAGCTTTTAATGATGTCTTTTGATATTAATATGAGTGTCGATCCGCATGCAACTCTACATGACCACGCTGAAAGAAAAGCTAGAAGCCAGGAAACAGCTTGGCGATACTTGCGAAGAGATTAAACAACGAGCCATAGACTCTTTCGTGGGCATCACAGGTAACGACCCTGCCTGGACATAGAGTAGTGTGTACATAGATAACACGGTTCTTCTCTCTCCCGTTTATCACAACCGTTCGTCTCTTATCAATACCCATTTCATTGCTTAACCGTGCACTCTTCTAAACTATGTTCCTTGTTAGCGTTAATGGTAAATATCCAAGTCATTGTTACAGTGTGTTATGTGTTACAAAAAATGGAAGCTTTTCAAACATATAAATGTTGTGCAATATTAATATAAATCATTTTGTTTCGCAGGGTTTTTATTATTATGTAGCATAGAAACTTACAGTAGTTTTTACACTGTCAAAAAACATTTAACTTATGTTCCGTACAACCTTAGCCTTTGCAGTCAACAAGTTATCTTGATCAAATCACCACAAGACCATTAGCGAGCTGCCAAAATGACAGGAAAGTATGTCCAAAAGTTGTAAGAAGTCGAGAAATGGAATTTGTTTTTGATAAAGCATAATTAACGTGTGATATTGATAAGATAGAAACATAAGGTAATTATAAAAAGTGTTTGAGAATAGATACTCCATTAATATTAAATTTCTGGTACTAGAATGAGCTGTTGAATAAGGTATAAATTTCATTCAAAGCACAACAATCAAAATACAATAGTTCCTTTGCCAAAACTTTTGTATTCAGTTTTGGCTGTAGTCAAAATTAGCAGAACAAAGAAAAGCAGTAAATGAACAAGAGTTAAATTTGATTGTTGTAGCATTGACATGCTCATTACAATTTAAATTACAATTAAGTATGTTCTATTACTATGTTCATGTTCCCTATTCTGATCAACATTAAGTATAAGTTTTATTGTCTTAGTTCATGCATAGTAATAGTCACACTTATTTAGATAATGATGACTACAATTTGATTCACGTAAGTCAGTTGGTTCTGCATTGTAACATAGTGTCTCCACTTATTTACATATTAATATGTTTGATTAGTTCTGAGATGATAGCAAAAGATATCCCTGAACGCAGTAATACAGAACGGGATCTTAATCTTGATGTAAAGATATGCGGGCATGTCTGGATGACATCATGGACAGCCATTTGTATTTGTAAGTCTTCCTTTCTTTAGTTATCTTCTTGCAAGAAATAGTAAGTGGGCATATTTGTCTAGACATGTGACAAGTCATGCTAATGTGATTATAATTTACGTAATTATTACGGATTGCTACGAAATAAAGGAATATGTTTACATCATCAGAAGCAAACCGTAGCAGAAAAATTTCGGACTAATACAAACGCGTAACGTATGAATAGTTATTCGTATATACAAATTATATATTTTTTCTTAAATTTTGTATTGTAGTTTTTCAAACAAATACTTATAAATTTAAGTTGTTATAATCTGCCGAAGTGTCAGTATATATGTCACACATTTGTAACAGTATACGAAACGTGTAACATGTACAGCTGTGCGCAAAAGTTTCCGTAAATTTTGTACGCGTATAACTTGTCCAATTTAGCTCCAATTTGTAATTATGTAAATGGAAATAAGAGTCGTTTACCTAACAATAAAATTACGCGTTTTGAATCAAATTTACTTTGTTAATCTCTGAGAAATTTGTCTTAAAAACACATACAATGAAGAAAATCAACGTCAGCCTATGTTACATCCTGGAAATCAAAAAACCACCTCAATGACAAGTGGAAAAAACAATTTACAGATAATACTGCTTCAGGCGTTGGCATAAAGGTGCAAGGACAACTCGTCCAATTCCCAAAAATAGACGCAAGATTTTGCACAACGTGGATTTTGTGCAAAGTAAAATTTTTTCTTTTCCGTTTCCGACAGACAATGAATAAAAATTTTATGTAAAATATTGGATAGGCACATTTCAGAACATACTAGTCGAATTGCTAAAGAATTTACAACAAACGTTCTATTGGTATTGTAATTGAACTAGCTTTCTAATAGTTCTCGTCAAGAGAAGTGGATTAAACGTATGCCAAAAGTTTTGAAATGCTGGAAATGTCATTTTACAAAGCATGCTAATTACCGTATTCTTCAACACTTTTTTGTTATCGCGTTGCTTATTTTCGGGTAGTTTAATAAAATGAAAGAAATTTCCACTGAATTATGTAATTTCTGTCGATAGAATCTCATCTGCATTTATCACGCAATACGCGAAACAGACCTTAAAAACTATTCTTCTTTTATACAAATGACAAACAAAGAGTTGTTAATACTATTAAGCGTAAGACCCAATTTGCAAAACAAACGCGGGTGGTGGTGCTGGAGAAACCATCTCGGGGAATCTTTGCCGCGCAAGTCTTAGTGATGTATGTTTACGGGTGAAAGGTTCATAGGAGGGTATTTCTACCGATATAATTGTTAAGTCCTTTAAAACGTGTAATATTTCAAACGATTTGGACTCTGATGATGTCGGCGACAATAATGATGTTAATGACGACCATGATGACGATACCACTGACTCCGTCATTGGCGAGGATGATATCATTGACATCATTGATGAGACGGGTTAATCATTTTCTTTATTGTAATAATATTATTAAAAGAAAGTAATCAATTGAATACGTTTATAAAGGTAAATTATTTATTCTGAAGTGTTGCTTATTTTTGGGTGTTGCTTATTTTTGGAAGAATACGGTAATTTAATAATTTGAAGAAAAACCGTTGTGAGGAGTTTGTTAAAATAAAAAACAACAACAAAAACAAATTTTATATCAATAAAATTTGCTCGATCAAGCTTTTATTTAAGATATAAAACTTGCTAATTGGTACAGTATTGTAAAATTACTTGTGCTAAACTTTTGCAATTTTTGCGCACCACTGTATATGTCATGGTGTACGTTTTATTCGAAAATTACAGTCAGTTGACTTTACGACTACTTAAAAATTTTGTTGTTTAATTAGTAAATACAGATTTTTGGAAAAATAGATTTTTAAATATGTTTTTCACTAAATCTATTGGAAGAGCACTGTACGTTTGGTATTTATCTCTGAGAAATAGTCTTTGACGTTACAGTTGTTGCAAAGTTTAACTCAATAGTCTTGACTTAAAACATAGCGGAACGATGAGAATGTACTTGTTCTTCATGCTCTATATATTTGTTTGTTTAGCATATAATCAGTATTCTATGCATGCAAACTGCGGATTCTGTTACTGGTGGAATTCGATCTTACCCGTCGAATTTCGATAAGCAAAAATAAGATTGCTAATTAATTGTCGATACGCGCGTTACTTTGATGTAAACATTCATTGCTCATATCTACTATCCGACCGGATAACACAATTTTTAATTTGTTTTTTTTTTTTTTCGAAACCAATGCGTATTATACGAAGTACAATATTTTTGTATAAATCTAAACTAATTTTCGAAGAAAATAACAAGCTGTTGAAGTATCCAAATTTTATCCCAACGCTATTGAGTATTATATTAGAATCATGTTTTCATCGATTCGTAAAACTTTGTCAGTTGCTACAAAAATCTTCGTTCGTCGACGTATAATTCCATTTTACAATTAGCGCTTTTCTTGGGTACCTTTTCGTAAATTATTAACATAAAGCTGTAGCAAGTTGAAGTAGCTGTATTTAAATTACGATATAAAACAAGTTATTCACTCTTCGTCAAGCTGCATACAAAACGTATTATGTCTCACCTATGAAAAGAAGACTTTTCATATGTTTAATATTAAATTTTGTGTTACCCGGTCATTTATTGGAGGAGGCTGCACAAATCATGTTTTGCCGTTGACGCCACAACGGATGAATTTGCATTGTTAAAAGATTGATCATGCTCCTGCGTCACTTATTCGCATTTCACCGATCAATCCAATTATCTATACCTTACCTCCTTCGCTTGCTCAATCTCAGACACACGCACATACGTAAATAGATACAAAAATAGTATGTCGACATTTGACGAAGAATTGTTAGACTTCAATATAGATGAGGAGCTGAAAGCTCTAGGGGTCGAACTAGAAGAATCAGAAAACCCAAAAGCAGGCAAATACTTTTTAGAGTACTGAACGAATGATAGATATATTATAGGATTAGGAATTTCTTTCAGCATAAACAACGACATTTAACCTCTGTTCAACAAGAATGAAACTGACACCTGTGCCTCTTACCTATAGAAACTACCAATAAGAACGATGGTGAGCAAGCGTCGCCCAAGGAGCTCAACTTGGAAGAAGAAATATGCAATTTTGATCTCCTTGATGATATCGATGAATTAGACACAACAATCGGAAGCAGCTCTATTGATAGTGAAATATTAATGGAACTCGGTATCGAGGATTTTATGTCATCAATAACCGATGCCGAACAAAAAGATAATAATATAACATCAGAAAAAGGAGAGGACATTAAAGATAATGAAAAAACATCGTCACAAACAAAACAGATCGCACCAACAGACGCGGTCGTAAACGTATCTTCTTCGTCTATTGATGCATCAGATGCGCAAACTAAGCCGTCCCAATCTATAACGCCAAAGGTGAAACCTAGTCTACAAAAGCTTTCCGAAGGGAGTCCGAAGATAATAACCACAAAATCGACAACTGTTGAGAAAGAAGAAGGTGAAATAAGCGGTGTCGGTGCGAAACAACACAACGCTCAATCGACGCAGAAAACAATGAACTCGCAACAGTTAGGCCGTGGTCGTGGTACAAGGAGGGCCGATTGGCGACCGATTTATCGTCCTGGTTTTGGACCTGGTGTAGAGGCATTGACTGGAATGCCAATGAACCACCATTTACCAATGGCCGAAATGCCGATTATGGGTATGCACCCGGAATTTCCACAAATGTTGAGCCATAATATTCACGTAAATCCGTCGTTTGCGGGAAGGGTGCGGCCGTTTGGAATGATATTTCCTCCTTTTGGCGCAGCTGCGCCAATGATGAATTATCAAGGACCAATGACTCCACAATTTATCGGACGAACGAATGGTTTTCCACGCAATAACGGGTTAAATAGTTTCGGCCAGCATCATCTTCATATGCAGCATAATCAACACGTCGGTCAACACGGTCAACACAATCAGCTTGTACCACAGAATGATTGGAGATTGACTCAAATCTCCCAAATGGCAAGTAAGCGCAAGACTCCTACGGATGGATTTGAACAGAAAGAACAAGATGCTAACAAGCGAACTGTTGCCAAGTCGATGAATAAGAACACTTCGGCATCTGCAAATCTGTCTCCAAAGTCTGCGAATAACGTCTCTTCTAATATTAATGCTACGGCGTCTGCTAAGACTGTAACCAATGCAGCAGCTAAGACTGTGGCCAATGCATCTGCTAAGACTGTGGCCAATGCAGCAGCTAAGACTGTGGCCAATGCATCTGCTAAGACTGTGGCCAATGCAGCAGCTAAGACTGTGACCAATACAGCAGCTAAGACTGTAGCCAATGCATCTGCTAAGACTGTGGCCAATGCAGCCGCTAAGAGTGCAGCTAGTGCTATAACTCGTCCTTCAAGAGCTCATAATGAGGCGGGGCGAGGAAACAATGCTAACGCCGGCATTAAGACCGAAATTAAACCATTGCCTGGTACACATGTGGTTATTAGTAACATTACTGGAGACGTCACTCAGCGGGAGATACAACGTATGGCCTCAGAGGCACCGAATGGTTATTTGGTTAGTGTCCAGTCAATATATGACAGCTCGTAATATTGATCTTATTGGCAAGTTTACTTAATTATTTAATTTCATATAGACTGTACAAATCGATCGTGTTGGAGAAAAAGCCAGCATTGTGTTTAAATCTCCTGAAGGTGCAAAAATATTCCGTCGTAAATTTAATAAGTACGCACTATGTTTCTTTTTAAGTTAATTTCTATACTCCAGTTCATGTATTAACCATTCCCTCTCTTCTTACAGGAGTGTACTTGGAGGTGTTAATGTAGATATCAAGATTACTAGTAATAAAGATGACTAGGACCTTGGGAAGTTTTTTTTTTATCTTATGTTGGAAGATTTTTTTTAGGAACTACTCTCGAAGTTATGAAGTCTATGTCCTTTTTTTTTTGTCAAAAGAACTGGGAGCTTTGTTGCAAACTCGGAGAGACGCGTCGAAAATATGGATGGCGTCACGTGTGCGTTCGGTACACAATCACGTGAGTAAGCACTTGTCACTTGACGATGCAACTTGTCCTTTCGCCGCGGTCTTGAGGTCTATGAGTATTACTTTTGAAACTGGAATTAAGTTACAACAGGGAGTTAACGAATTCTGGCGCAGTATACGGATTAAGAGCGCAAAACGGAAAGCAGTTTCCGTTAATAATACAGTCGAGAGGATAATGGTGATTCGACATCAAAGTTGAGAACGTCGTTGATGTCGCAGAAGGACAGGAGGGTGTGGCCTATGCTCGGGTGAAGGCCATAGTATTGCATAAGTATAACGATGGTACTTTTTATCGTTTGTTTGTGTTCAATTGGTTCTCGTCTACAAGATCTCGCCACATCCTGCAATGTATGATATATCTTGCTCAAGGACAAAGTGATCGATGACGACATGTATACCCACTCACTTTCCTTGATCATATTCCGCGGGCTCACTTTCTCAATGTCTGTTCACGCTTTGGTGCAGTCAAACAGCAAGATATACAAAGCGGCGGTATATGAAAAATGAATTTTATTATAATGCAGTAATAACTTAAAAATAAAGTCTGCCTATGACGTATGATTATGACTATTACAGCCCGGACAGAAGTGATCACGAAATTTCGCTGATCGAACGGTAAAAGTAACCCATATGTAAACTAGATTTCTTATGCAATAAGTAAAATAATTCACGTATCTATATGCGTACGCTTCATAATATTGAGTGAAAAATAAAGGCTTACATCAAATATAAAAAAGCTAATTGCGATGCATCCTCGCGTCATAAGTAAAAAGATTTTTCACATTTCAAAATATAAATTTATAATTCGTGACGATTTGGTTCCGATTTCATTGAATGAAACAGTTATACTATAAGAAATATCCTATCCAAACTTTATTAACTTTCTATTACAGCAACAGTTCATTTGGGCAAATACCATCAACAAGAGATGATAATGACTACATACAACTGTGGTAATGTACCGACGTAAAATTCTCGTATTATTATTATGCAGTAAGATTGTTTTGTTCCGAGGATCGTGAATCATTGCCATTCGTTATCAAAATATTTGTGAAAGAATTGTACTAGGAATTGATGCACATTAACGATTCCGTTATAATGTCCATTTCTGACTCCTTGGAAGGGCAGACGCCCTTGGGTTTGTACATCTAATTATATACGGAACAATATCCTGATGGAGATTTGATCGACCTTCGTCCATGTTCATCTTTCTTCAAAATTGCGGAGATACAATTGATGGTCGAGATGACCTCAGGTTTCGTGAGAAACCGGATTCAACGGTGTTTCCTAAGACATCTGCTATCGCCTGCACGGCGGGAAAATTTTTTCACACAATCGCATATGTATTATTACACAGTCTCTTACCTCGTTAAATTTTCCCACTTCATTTTCGTATTATCCATCCTCAATACCGATGTCCTCATTCTCCTTATAACTGGTGTTACTGTTGGGTTTTCGTGGGTTCGCTTCTGAGTCATAGAAAAGTATTAGCATTATTTATGAACAAATCGATAATTTACCCTCTCCATCGTCTAATATTGCACGAAATGAAGCACGTGTCTCCCGTTTTCACTTTTTTATTTTATCCTATTATTTCGAAGATGTGATCTTTTGTCAGCTTATACCTAAGTTCCTTCATACAAATAAAAAAGACATACGTTGACTTTTTATTCTTCTTCCAATCCTCATATTGTTTTCCGAGTCAGAAGCATCTCGCAACACGGCGTTGTCCAAACATAAACTGTAATCATTATAACCAGATGACCTTCGATATTTGAACTCCACAAAGAAGTTCAACGGACGAGGGTCTGGGTGTGTCTTCAAGAATTTGACTTGCTCTTCCTTAACTTCTTGTCATCTTGACATTTATCGTTATTGCTTTTTTAATTTTGTTGACAGTGACAAATCATAACGAGCAAGACGCATGCCCTGATTCATCACCCCATATAATCCTCTCCCATTCATTTTTTTCTCCTAATCTTTTCGTTTCTTTCTTTCATCCCCATAAGGTTTTCTAGTGAAAACTATCAGATTGATAGAGTTCCCTTTTAATAGTTTTTTTCAGAAACAACCGTTGAAGTTGAATCGGCAAACTATTATTTATTTCTAATAATAATGTTATTTTGAAAATGCAAGCAGAAAGTTAGTAAATTGGTTTAATTGAGAATTCTACACCAAAGTATTATATTTCTACCCTTTTGATGTTCTACAATAAAGCGCGTTTATTTCTTTTTGACCTTATTTGCTGTCTTCCAGGCTTAAAATTCCATAATCTTAATGAAATTCTGGGCCGTTGTATCAAGGTGATCGAGTGTCTGTGCGATTTTTCTAATACATGAACCACTTTCCAAGCAATAATTTGTGCATGCTGTGGGTATGGGGATTTTCATATTAAATGCAGATACATAGTCAACTCGATAAGATAAAGTCGTTGGGCTAATGTAATGGTCTAAGCCACAGGTTTATTTTATATGGTATACTGCGGCACCAACACAAATGGTTACTATTGGTGAAAACATTGGGTCTGTTTGTGACAAAAAACTTCTTCTTTTGTAGTCCTCTCATAGGACTAGCAGTAGTATTTATGGTTTTGAAAGAAAGATTTAACATATTGGGTATTCAACTTATGGAGAGAATCCTTTTTATCTTGCGAGGCATTATCAATAATACAAAAATTCTCGAGTGGGAAAGTTCTTCACCTCAGAGTGAATTTATCTTAAATGACTCTATTTTATCGAGTACAGTGAACCATTTATAAATGCGTCTTGCATAAATGCACACTCTTCATAAACAATCTGAGAAAAACTCGATGCGAAGGCCCAAAGCAAAGCAAACAAAATATATGATGCTATGAAAGAAAGAATACGCGGAACCTAGACATTAATGCATTAACTTACAGTCTATAATGATGACTAGATATAATGATATTTGGATATAACAACGAATTTTGCCATTACCAAAATTCTTATTTGATTTTCACAGCATTGTTATTTACGTAATAACGATGAGTATGTGATGCGGCGATATATTTTATGCCGACCAATTAAGACTACGAATTTTAATATTCGCTTTCCAAATTTCAGATTTTCCCAAGCCATAAACAAACTGCGAAAAAACCACAGCTTTTTGGAAATACGCTTGACAATTGGGTACAGTGGTGTGCAAAGACAATTTTTCAAATCGTTCTGGTTACACAACCATCGCATCAAGTAAATTGTACTGCACATCATTTTGAAGAGTAGATCTCATTAATATGATATCGTTCACCATTTTTCTTATAATCTCATCACAACGCAGTGGCATCGATTCTACAAGACTAACTAGAAGGCTATTCGGAATTTTGTCCCACTCTTCACCCATAAACGTTCAGATTTTTGGGCTTACGCATTTCTCCATTCCTTTTAACAATTGCCCAAAGGTTTTCAATAGGATTTAGGTCTGAACTATTAGAAGGCCAGTCCATAACGTCTGGAATGTTGTCCTTAAGGAATTCTTGGGCAATGCGACTAGTATGTTTCGGATCATTACCCTGCTGTAATCGCCAATTGCCCTTTAAAATGTTCTTTATTTCCGGAATATGCTGTTCCACTATTTTCGTGTAATTTTTTCCGTTCATTATGCGGCGAAAACAAGTAAGACTAATTTTACTATTTACACCACGCGAATATTTTACGTCGATCTTTTGGCATAGGGCGGATTGGCCTCGCATTTTTATAACAATGCTTTATCATGTTTACAAACAATTGAAATGCTGTTTCGTAAATAATGTCTTTTTCCAATGTAATTTTGATGTTTTTGGGCCCATTCAATACGTCGTTGCTTATGGGCCGGTATAAGCATTGGTGTAGCAGGACGAAGAGCATTCCGGTCATTCAAATGCCTTGAGCTGGAGACGTCTATTCCAATATCGTCCAATTTTCAGCAATAGATTTAGCAGAAATTGAGGGATTCCTTTATAATATACTGGTCGATTGCGCGAGAAGCATTAATCGTTATTTTCTTAATACGACCGTTACCACCTTTATGCCCCACACCACCAGTTTTTTAGATTCGATAGATTGTTTTGGACGGTATCTTTGTTAATGATTGAATTTCAGTAGCCGTTTGTATCCCTTGCCGCCAGAAATGTAATATAGCTTCACGTTGACTTTGCTTCTTATATGGAGACATTTTAATGCTTTGTGAAATAAAAATTTTATTATAAGTGTGCTATCTCAGAAAGAGAACACAATTTATGATATCTGGAAAAATAAGGAAAAGTGGTTGGCTGTCGACTCAGTGTCAACCAAGTTTGTAAATAGAAGTTGCGCTGTTGATAATAATAATAGAATATTTTACAGATTGATGTTAGAAATCAATAAGAATCTATGGTAGATCGTTTTTGTCATTGCGATGTAGTATTTCTTTTCTGTAAAGACGAATAAGCAAAAATAGTAGACAATTTCTTGTATGACGATATTGTTTTCGTGTCCATATGTCATCGATATAAAGAGGATACTTGGTGTTAACTATAACGATGAAAATAATATGAAGTATCGTTATACCAGTATTGATTGTTTTTCCCTACCACTATTGCTGATTACACGATTACTAATTGAACTTGTAAATAATTTAGACCTACACAAAATTTTCATCACGTGTGAAGCATACATAGTGCGATTCTCATGACCTCGAAGCAATCACAGAACACTTTGAAAGATGTATTCAAGACAAACTTGTACAAATATGTATGCCTGGAATCGAGTTCGTCTGACTCAGGCACATTGAATTAGATGAGCTCATTCACTGTCAATGCGAAAATACAAAATGAAAAAGAGCCGCAAATTAACACTCCCAGACATCGTTATAGTGGCCCGACCTGTATAATCTAATCAACCTGAATTGAATTGATATCGATTTTGGGCGCGACTGGTTGTATACGGTTTTTTCATTATAGCCATTCGTCCTTGAATGCCTCAATCCCTTGATTTTTCATTATTTACACGTAAGCTCTATATTTTGTGCAAAGTTCTATATTGCTCCCGAGATCTATACACTTATCCTTACCTTTCTGTCTCTCGCTGACAGATAATATATAGTCTTAATATTAATGGAGTTTATGTAACAAGTGGCCCATGCAAAAAAAAACACGGTAGGCGGTATTTATGCCACTGTTAGTTATGTTTATACAAACACATCCATTGACTCTCTCTGTACAATTCACAATCATATTGATTAAGAAAGTTTATACCTTTGCATGTTAAAGCTAAACATACTCGTGTTGAAGTGGCATTGACGGATATTTCAGCTGTTGGGATCAAACACAAATGAAAGAATAATCAACTAAAATCCGTCAATAGATGCAGCGTGCTTGGCAAGAAAATCCACCAAATAAGCTCTCTCCCCTTTATTTTGTGATTCTTTAAAACGAGCAATAGTAATAGGATAACCACAACAATCTCCATCGAGTGACGTCAACGTTCAGTTTGTCCAGTTTCGCTGCGCACGAGTAAGACAGATACAATACAATGGATCCAAACCTTGTTAATGAGGAAACCAGTCAAGGAGAGACGATGATATCCCGGAAGCGTTGGAAGTGTTACAGATGGATAAAATGCATTATCAATGGCAGAACAAGCTTATCGTAGCTCGGAATGTTAATGAAATTTTAGTGTTACAAAATTTTAAGCCACAAAGGTTGTATGTTAAACTTGTACAAGAGATTATTCTCTATCAATCTATTGTGGGGAATATTAACACAAGTTTGTTTATTATGTTTTGCCAGAACATAAACAATGGCGATCAAAGATCTACTTGAAGATCACTCCTCAACTTTATTGGGTCCGATAATTGACATGTCATTTTTTACTGGTTGGCTTATCTCGCCAAATCCGAAATTTCCCTAAATTACATACCTCGCAGTCAAAAATTATTGACGCATACTGTATCTACTGAGCTAAAAAAGATTTTATTGTAAAGTCGTAATTGAAGCTAAAAGCAACAGACAAGGGACGGTTTTTCCCTGTAGAGGGATGTGGCGACGTTTTGGTGTACGGAATTCTGATGTATCTTATTCTAACCAAGAACAATAGCACATAAAGACTGCAGAATTGTGTCGTATATATGACATACATATTTGTGCTGCTCTTTCAGTGGATATCTCGATTCTTTCCGTGCGTATTGTGTGGTCTGGAAATTTTGGTCATAGTTCGGACTTAATTCAAGACCAAGCGGCTACAAAGTCAATGTAGTACTTTGTTTACAATTAGGGTGGAATGGAAACCACATTTCTTCCCTACGAGCCTCTCGGAAAGTGAACAATAACAATGCTGCTCTTATTACTATATCGTTAACGCCGATTTGCAATTTCGTAATACTATTTGCCCGCGGTTATACAAAATGAAATTTGAATTTGGAGAGATTTAGTCTGCTGTAAACTCTGATCAATATTGACAGCGATCGGAATAGTGAATCGAGAAGATGGATCCGTATTTTGTAATTTGGACAACTGCTTAATATACAACATAAATGTTGGAACGTCTCGACTTCTCATCAAGGTTAACACTCAATAGAATTAGTTATTTTCATGGCTATTGCGCTTACGATCTATACAACTCGTGTTAACTGAAGAGACTACGAGCAAGTGTTTAGACGAACAACAGACACTGAATCACTTTTACTAAGTAAATAAAAAAAAAGCATAATTGTTATAATACTGTAAAGTATTTGCTATATTTACAGCTGTTGCCTATCTTAAATAGAGTCACATATCCATATATTGCCAATTTCCTGTGATATATTATGGTCTGAAGATAACAGACGGAACCGATTTATCCTTGTAGAAAGCAATTGTTTCTCTTGCTTTACTGGCAACATTCTCAGGAGTAAATCCATACTTCTTTAATACTTCTTTGTACGGTCCGGATGCACCAAACATTCTCATGCCAACGTGGGCATGAGAATATGCATCCCATCCGTACGTCGACATTGCCTCAACACTAACAATGGGAACGCCGTCAGGAAACACACTCGAACGATATTCAAGACTCTGTTCTTCAAACAACTCGAACGAAGGCAAAGACACCACACGTGGTTTAATTCCTTCAGATTTCAAAAGCTTCGCTGCGTCAACCGCAAGTGAAACTTCAGAGCCCGTACCCACAAGAGTAATATCTGCATTGTCTACCTCCTCAAGGACGTAACCTCCCTGAAGAGTTTTCTCGACGGATGAATTTTGAAGTTGAGGAAGATTCTGACGAGTGAGCGCGAGAACTGATGGTCGGAGAGGATTTTTTAAAGCAGCGAGATATGCTCCTGATGTTTCGTTGCCGTCTGCCGGACGCAAGACTAAAATGTTAGGAAGCGCACGGAGGGCAGCCAGTGTCTCTATTGGTTGATGAGTAGGTCCGTCTTCGCCTGTTATTTTGATAGGTGGTTAGCATTACAAGATTTATGCTTTACGTATCGCTTCCTTTTCCTCAAACTTTTGTATATACATACCAAGTCCGATAGAATCATGAGTCATAACATATATCACTCTGAATCCTGTTAAAGCAGACAACCTTACAGCCCCCCATGCATATGTAATAAAATTTAGGAAGGTACCGCCGAATGGAATAAGCCCACCGTATGCTGCAATGCCGTTCATGGCAGCGGCCATGGCGTGCTCTCTGACACCGTATCTGATATACCTTCCCTTGTAGTTTCCTATATTCGTTGATGGATGCTGAAAATCGACAGCTGTCTTCCATCGAGTGAGATTAGATTCAGTCAAGTCAGCGGAACCGCCAATTAACTCTGGGACTATATCTGCGATCTTATTCAAGACGGCCTCTGATAATTTCCTAGTCGCTAGAGCTGAGTCAGAGGGTGTATAACGGGGAAGAACCGCTGCCAAGTTATCGGGAAGTTTATTGGAAAGGCGACGAGTCAAATCGGCTCCCTGTTAATTATTTAGGGCATCAAGCATGCGTAAGTACCGGTTTCTTGTATGTAAATTGATTACGACGTTTACACACGTCACACAGTCGTATTACTTACTTCTTCAGGATACTTTTCTTTGTAACTCTTCAACAAATCATTCCAATCATTCTCAGCTTTCTGTCCTCTTTCGCTAAATGAACGCCAGTATTGGCGGACTTCATCCGGTATATAAAAATATTTGGAAGAATCAAAACCAAACGCTGTCTTGATATTGGCAATATCATCTGGATTCAGTGGACTTCCATGAACTTTCTCTGTGCCCTGGTTTTTGGACCCTATACCAATTATGGTGCGTATTTTGATAATAGATGGTTTATCTGTCACTTTCTTTGCGTTTTCCACAGCAGTAGTGATACCATTGAGGTCATTATTTCCATCGGTTATTTCTTGAGTGTGCCAGCCATAGGCCTCAAAGCGTTTGAGAACGTCTTCTGTGAAACTGAGTTCGGTGTTACCTGAGAAAGAAAGAAAGAAAGAAGGACACAATACATATTATTTATACAAGTTATCACTTCAGTATTACTATACTATTCGTGTTTCGTGTTTCGTGTTACTTTTATTCTTTGCTTACCATCAATCGAGATGTGATTATCATCATAAAGCACGATCAAATTGCCCAACTGAAGGTGACCAGCTAGAGAAGCGGCTTCTGATGCTACACCTTCTTGCAAGCAACCATCTCCAGTGATCACGTACGTATAATTACTGAACAGATCAAATCCAGGCTTATTGAACACAGCAGCCAGATGTTCTCTGGATATAGCCAATCCGACTGCGTTTGCGAAACCTTGCCCGAGTGGACCAGTTGTGACTTCTACACCAGGAGTTAGATGTGCTTCAGGATGTCCAGGAGTTCTATATGTGTACATCAAACTGAGAGATTAGAACGACAAACTACTTCCCATAACGTGATATCTTTCATACATATTAATACTCGCTTGCTGTCAGTTTGACGGAACTGCTTCAGGTCATCTATAGTTACGTCGTATCCGGTTAGATGGAGCATAATATACTGCAGTGCGCATGCGTGTCCATTGGATAGGACGAAGCGATCGCGATTAATCTATTGAAAAAAAAATCAGTTAGTCAAAACCAGCGACCGTGATTTTGCGTTCCCATGACAAGACGTGTTTTCATTATATGGAGTTGCGCGATATACTTGCCCAGTGTGGATTTGTCGGGTTACCGGTAATAAATTTTGAAAATAGAATATGGGCCATTGGAGCACAACCCATGGGAGCACCTATATAGAATGTTGTTGATCGAAAGGGTCGAAAATAGGATTTAATAAATCATAAAAATACGCATATCCATGTTTGATTTTGGTGGAGCGGTTTAATAGTTTATACTAATGATAATGTCGATAATTACCTGGATGCCCCGAATTGGCTTTTCTTACAACATCTGCTGCAAGAGTACGAATAGTGTTGATTGAGAGTTTGTTGATATCGGTCATGATCGATTAGTATTTGTCGCTAGTGTATGCTTACGGTAAGTTGCAGAAGGAAGGGTGAGTCTCTGTAGCAGCTGCACCCCAGCATTTTATATCGTAAGTCACTGGGATCGGCAAACAAAATTAATTGCTGATTAATCTGTTCGATGTTTGATAACTTTCACTAGATAAGATTTTATAGGCCTGCGTGAGATATCTCATTCCTAATTCGTCGATCTTACATTGGGGGGCTGTTGATACAATACAGATATTACGATTTTCAGATCATACGCCCCAACTGTAGTAGCTAATAGTTACCTCACATTTGGCGTAAGAGTGAGGTCAGTTTATTTATCAACAATTTATACATAATTGTTAGTTAGCTGTACGGTAAAACCAGAGAACAGGAAAATGCGTATCTATTTGTTGACAACATCATTGTTATATTAATATCGCCCAATCTTAAACGATTGATTATTCTCACTTTACATGGAAGGTAAATTTTCACAACTCGTCCACCAGAAAGCAGATTTAAAAAGACTATACAATAGTAATAGTAATAGACATACATCCTATCGACCAAATTAAGGTTGTAAACCCATACAAAGATTACGTAATCCGCAAACACCCTTTGTATTACAAATGCTTGTGATTGTAACAATGTTAGATATGATAATGAACAGTTTATTTCCCGTTTTGAATACGTGTGCGTCCAAACCGCAAATTCATGAAATATGTTCCTCGGAATATACCCTTCAATATCGACACTTCTATGAAAGTGGATGAGCAAGTATTTTGAACTATGTATAGCCATACCAAGTTATGGCTTAAGAGTTACGTGCAGAGAATATATAACAAAGTTGTGGGGCGGGTCGATTATGCAATCAAGGTGTGTCTTGTATTTTTTCTCCAGTAGGCACTAACTATGTTACCTTATAAACTTGTAGAAATCCAAAAATTTTATTTGCGTCACAGAGAATAAAAGTCCAGCAGCAGGCTTCGCTCAGAAAATATCAAGCAACCTGAAAGTTCATATGAAACAAACGAAAGTGTGGCAGCGATAATTATTTTGGCTATCTTTATGAGTTTTGGCATCTGCCAGAGATTGGCATTTCCGCCTCTATTCGTCGGGTGATATTTTACAAGCGAGTAGGGTGTCTTTTCGCATTGAATTTACCGAAGAATATTGAGCGTAAAGATGTGAGAAAGGCTTTATGCATATTATTGGCTTGTTAAAAGGTAGGGCATGTGTGGAAGAAGAATCGGATAGGAAGAGAGTTAGGATAGAAGGACATCACTTGAAGAATGCTGGCTTAGACTTTGTATTTATTTTTCGTACGTAGTTTTCTGACTATTGTACATTGGTCAGAATGCTTACATAACTACAATACTGCAAATATGTGATCGGAAATTAACTAATTATTTTTGGTTTACAAACATGCAGAATAAGCGAATAGTCTTGTTATTTTAATTTACGAATACTGGTTTTAATATCAGTGATTCCAGATTGTTCATTAAGATACTCAATATATTCCGCGTTTACAAAGTCCAATGAATCATCGTTTGTAATTTTGTGAAATCCGAAACGATTATTTTCCCCTAGATGCTCACAAATGTAATCTGGCAAGTTTGACAATTCTGACTGGGCGAGCTCTGTCTCGCGGTTTTGGGGATATAACTAACCTCCTTCCTTTTTCTCTTTTTAGGCAGTCTATAAAGCATAGCGCGTTTGTTATTGTTATTATTGTTAATGTAGTCACATTAATATCGGTACCGTTATTGCTTTCGGGCCACCATTGGAGTCTGTTTGAGATGTAAAACATGAAGGATACATCATAGATAGATATCAATACATGACTTTTAAAAAACTAAACTTTTAGACATACTCGTATAATAGTATAGTAGAATTTTATTGTAATAACTTGGGTCTTCAACGCCATATTTGCAACGCATTCCCAAATCTAAAGTAAAAGGATATTTTAAGAAACGTTTCTTTCTCTATGGTTCATAGAATTGGCAAATAAAAAATTAAAACTACCGTGTGTCCTGATCCCACGATTGCCAAAAGGTAGAGATATTGGAGTTATTCATGTTTCTCCGACTTTTTAAAAATAAGTACGTGAAGTTACGTAGTAAGGTTTTACGTTTTGCTCGATTAATTGGAAAAGGTTCGGTCGTATCTTTTTGACTAATGTGGTTTTGTTTACTTTATTTACGTAACGAAAAATTGTGTGTCAATTTGAAAGAAAAGTTAACTTGAAAGTCCAGCCGTTATTAAGGTCTGAAATGGAAAATCCCGAACAGAGATTATTATTTAATTTTTGAGCGGCAGGCAGTAATGTAGATTTAGCCAAAGCCAAAGGAAGTGCTGAAACTTATGCTCATTTTTTTCACCAGTTGCTACGCATTTCAAGAAAACTACTCCGAACTGCAAAGTTCGTATTGAAGACCTTACAGAACGAAGAAATGAACTTTCGATGAGTTTTACACTGAATTTATTTCTGACTTTCATGTTCATGCAATATTTTTTTTATAACTATTACAAATTGATAGTAAATATCGCGAGGAGCTTTTATTCACAACGAGGTGCTCCCGGTTTATCTATCTACACATGCAGAAGAAATAAAAGCGCAAAAAAAGGATCTATTAAGGGAATGGAGAAAATATTACGAATTTTTATAATAGAAACTTTACGGATCGATAGTAAGTGTTGTCTAAAAATCGACAGTCCCGTGATCTATTAGTCACAGCAGACTATTGGATAATAAGTTTCATAACACAAACGGATAATAATAACGAAAGTAATAATAATAATAGACTTTTTTATTACCGTATAAAAATAGGTAATATCTTGCTGATAACTGTTGTTTTAGAGACATCAAGACTATTTGAATTCTGATTATTGTAATACTGACCAAAGACAGCTATAATTTGACCACGTTCAGCCTCAGCTAGTTTTTTATGTAAAGATTCACAAAAAGCTGCAAAAAACGACGTTTTCTAATACTTAGAGCATAAATATAAAATGCTGTCTTATTATATGAACAACTATAAACTTAGAAGATTCGATAATTTTGCCGACGTAGTATATAATACGTTTTACGTAATTTAAACAAAATGGTTTTGACGTAATAATGTTCATTTAATGGTTAATTTTCTGGAAAACGTTGGTTACGCTTCTTTGACTAATGCAACAATAAATAGACGCTTACTTTCATTCAGGGCTTCAGGGGTTTATTCAACCTATTTATTGCTAGTATAGTTGAGCAGCGCTCGCATATCTAGTTTCTATATTGTGATGCAACGATTATGAGTTACTCTACAATATCGATAACTGAATAACAAAGATTAGTAATTGCTTCACCGATTTGCTTAATGCATTGACTAAGGATATTGTGATTTATTGAAAAACCATTAGCAAATCTGGTACGTTATCAAAGTAATAATATAAATTAGTTCTCACAATATTCAGGGTTCCTTATTACGAAAGCCAAAAACACTAGTAACAGACACAAACGTTTTCAAATTATAGTTGAGCAACGAATTAAAAACATTTATAACATTAAGTAAAATTTAGAATTGAGGTTTCCTTAATTAATTGGAATTTTGGTCATGTTTATAACAGATTTAAAAATGCAATTAAAATCGGTCCAGGATTTAGGCATATACTTTAAAACAGAGCGTCTCAAAAACCGTCATTGGTTATAGTAGTAAAATTTTAGTCACACCAGTACTTGAGTTCAATGTCGGTTTTGTATTAATCTGGTGAATTAATCAAACAATTTTAAAACAGACCAAGCTATTAGGAACTCCTGAACAATTAGAAAATTCTTAAAAGAGCACCTTGAAATCAATTGCCCATTGATATAGCCTTTGATAAAGGTTTAAGAATTTATTGCGTGACGTTGTTGGTAAACGAAAGCATCTACTTCTAAATAAAAATGTTGGAGTGACATCTAGGCAGAAAGCTGGTAACTATAACAGTAAATGAAGAGCAGTCTCCAAAATTAGCTACGCGTGGGGTGTAAGCAACTTGATGTTTCCGGTTAAATTTGAACATAAACTCTCTTTCAGGCGATTAACACTACCAACAGCCAAGTCTGTATAATTATTGTGACAGATAGCATAAGCTGATTGGATTATCAAGGATAGTAATTCAAATTGAATCTGCAAAATTTACTATTCAAACACGCCTATTTTGGAAGTTGCTTTATAAAACAAGACATTTCTTGTTTGCGATAACAATACAAATCACACTGATTATGTTAACAACAATCGACAAATTGTTGCTTCAAGTTTTTCTACAAAAAAAAAGGCTCTAAACAATATCGGACAGCGTATGTTTAAACAGTAAATTTTCAGATCCGCTCGTACTGGGTAAATTTTTTAAAAAAATGTCTCTCAGCCACTGTAATTATTACAATATCAGTTTGGATGAAGACAAAACACTCCAAGTTTAGCGAGAGACCGACGACTAACAGTGGCTTGCCGTATCATGTATGAGAAACATTGTCATTATTACACAAGTGTGGTGGTGTTTCAAAATATGATAGCAACAGAAAGCATGTATTTCTTTCTATGATTACAAACGTAATCGTATATTGCAATTGTGCAAAGACAAAGAATCTTTATTACAAACTCGGTTTCATGTGATAGCAAGCGAGCGAATCACAGCTTGATGTCATTTCTATCAGAGTCGAAACGTTGTTGCCATTGTCATTGCCCTAGTCTCGTGGATATTTTTCTGCATCTATGGCACGATTGAGAGGAAACAACCATTCGATTGGTGGATTACTTCATCGCATACTGTGTAGTACTAGGGATGGTTTTGCTGTGAGTACCCTGCATATGCACTCAATTGCATTTATGGATCGATTGTTCAGAACCAAAAATACGTGAGTATGATATTAGTTCCGATTTCATCTATGAATGCTGTTTGTTATTATTATTATATTTAGCATTTGTTGTGTTAGCCACATCGAACAATGCCAAAGACAGTATCACGTGGTTCTACTCGATGTAATCGAAACGCTATTTCCAAATCCGTCATATCTGGGCTGTTAAGTAATCAACATTTCACTGACATACCCGTTCCTAAACCTACTGAGAATACCAAATCATCCAATCATAGTGCTCTAAACACGTAACACTTAACGCTTCGGCCTGCGTCTCCCCTTTTTGAGGTTTCGGGCGTTCTGACCTCTGTAATTTATAGTAAAGATAGTGTTATTGAAATTTCTTAAATTTAAAAGCCGCAACTTAAACTTCTGTCTCTCTGTCTTCCCTTTCTCATCCTTTCGAGCTCTACACAAGCAAAAGGCGCCGATTATCACTTTATTAGTCAGAATAAGACGTGCCATCTGTTAGTGCCTAATGACGCCTACGAAGGTTGAGACTGACCCATATAACGCATTATTAAGCAAGATAATAGACTCTGACATCGACGATGACTTCCTGAAAGACTTTCCATCGGTGCAGCTATCTGGGAATGCAATTTCTCAGACACAGGCATTTTCTCCAGAATTAGAAGCAGCACTTGAAGACGATTTACAAGCAGAACAATATATAAATAACTTAAAGAAGCGATTTGATGCCGCCGGCTTGACCGACGCTATGCAGAGGGCGATGGAGCTCTTAAACGAGGATGGACTGAGCAGTGGTAAAGCAGGTGAAGAGGACGATGATACTGACGGAAGGTTAGTACAGATCTTTCCATGACCTAGAATTTTAGGCGTATCGGATTGCGATTGGGTAGTGATTACAGATTCGCCGTTATGCTTGTGTATGCAGTCATGATGAACCATCAACGCCAACAACTGAAATCCAAGAGTCTCAACCTCAACCGAAGATAGCAGAGGGTTCGATATCCCGACTAGGTGAGAAGATTGAAGCAATTATTTATGTCGTAATATCCAAAGTAACTATTCCCACGCCAAAGTTAACACATTTTCTCTCCATTCGCCAACGTATTATCCATTTTAGTTAATGGTGTAAAATCCTTAGTCGACATCGAAAAAGATTTCAACGATCTTCGCATACAGGAGCTGGATCTCCCTACAACTCCCGAAAGTACGATTAAAGCGGTACTTGCCAAAATCTATAAATTACAAGAGGATTTGCAGATACATCTACAAGGAGGCCCGCTGGCTAATCCATTGACATTGGGCGATCAACGAAGGAGAAAAGTACAGGAGTTATTGGAGAAAGTTATGGGGGAGACTGCACTGTATGAAGAGTTTGTTAATAGAGGTAGGCAGATTAAACTGAGACTGAGAAGACGCGTGCGAAAATGATATTGTCTTTGGTTACTTGATCAGTATATATTAATTTTGGATTGCCATTGTATCGGGGACAGCCCAATATTTGAGCCTTGATAGAATATTGAATGAATCTGAAAATTCGAGTGATGATGAGCTTCAAGATTCAGAATTGGATGCTGAATCCGAGATACATGTATTTGAGGTAAAATTCTCGTATAGATTACTATCAGTTTTCCATTCACACTTGTTTTGTTCGACTTACACAAACTCAAATATTATTACTCTTGAAGGACACACTCTCAGACACGTCACGCAAGACAATCAGCACTTCAATGACGTCAATGTCTCCATTATCTCTCCGAGCAACGGACCCAAGTCTCCACAAAATCCGCTCTGCTTCATCAACTACCTCTCTTACGCCATCTCGTACATCATCCAGATACTCACGATCGTCGTCTCCGCCATTGCTTGTACTGGAAGAGATAGGATTATCAGCTGCATCTGAATTGGAGCCAGGACAAGCATTTCGATGGGCCCCATTAACCACGCTGTCGAGTCACTTGTATTCAACGGAAACGAGTCAGAATAATGGGCTGCCAACCGTATCAGCAGTGAGTAGATTAGTGTTCTTAGATCGAGGCTTCGGACAGAGTTTTTGTATAGTAATTAATTCGGAGGGTTAAAATAGAGCTATTATAATTATGACATAAGTCTATGTACATTTTTACGTAATTTCTAGGTGAGTGAATTCATTGCCATTGGCACGACGCGTGGTTTAGTCCTTGTCTATAATTACAATCAAAATCTCAGATGCGTACTTGGTAACACTGTAAATGGTAACGTATAGTATTTGTGTTATTTCGTTGTAGCCTGGGAGGCCTTTTGTCATCCATGACTGTTTGTATCTAACATACGCGTCTACTTTTCATACTTCGCTTTTCCGTAACAGCCATCGAATATGGGGCTGTCACATCACTCGCAATCTCCTCCGATCGCGCCCAAATTATATGTGGCCATGCTCAAGGTCATATTATAATTTGGGATATTGCTCGTCCTAACAATCCTGCTCGCACCATCATGCCCATCTCTTCCGCTGTTGCTGCCGGTGGTCGTAAGGAAGGCCATATACGTGGGTCGGCCATTTTACATGTTGGATTCGTTGGGGTGAGGAAGAATGGCATTGTCTCGGGAGATGATCGTGTACGTGGTTTTTTCCCTTTTTTTTTCTTTTATAAAATGAGCAACAAATTATTATGGAATAGACGCACTGGGTGGCGACGATTGGCGACTAATTCGAGTTGATTGTTTGATTACTTGTCGCGATTAGGGTATGGCATTCTATCATAATTTGTACAAAGTGATGATGGTAAATGCAACAGAGACGATTCGTATTCTTGGGCGATATCCTCCACCAACGTCAGGGCCTGACAGTAAGCTAGCGTCGAAACGACCCAGTACTGTATTTGGTTTGGCTCCATTACCACTGGGACAATCGCCACATGGATCAGAAGCGTTTGGACTAGTTGCTATGTTGACACCATTTAAGGTATAGGATAAGGATTAGGGCTGTAACCAATTTATTAACTAATGATATTAATGTTATTATCAATTGTCATATACACAACTATCATCCTCCTATCCATAGATGATTATAGTTAGTATAAAACCGACAGTTCAAACGCAGTATAAATGTCCGAGACCCAAGCACACGGTTTCGGACTCGCATGGACCTAAATCACTATCGGGCTGTCTAGCATGGTTTCCAGCTGTCAAAACCAGGTTGAACCCTGATTCATCATTCATCGATACTGACCCTCTTCTTGCCTTCTCTTGGGGCAGTTATTTATCTATATTGAAAGTAACCGTCGTCCCAGCAGTTTTGTCAGAAAATTCGCCGAAAAGAAGACGTCCTGAGAAAGATATTCGTTTGGAGTTTACAAGAGTTGCAGAATGGAAAGGGAAACACGCTATTGTTGGATTGCAGTGGCTATCTCATCACGTGAGTTGGATGGATTGAATTTACTTGAAACGTTTGATTGTATACTAATTTTAACATACGAATTATATAATTAGATTTTATTAATCTTATTGAGCAACGAAGAGATTATAGTCTTTGATCCAAGATATATGCAAGAGAGTGAAAAGGCAGACGTCAAGTCGGATGTCAAATTAAAATCTTTGGTATATCATAACCGTTTCTCTGCCTCACTCAAGGAAACGTCGGTTCACCCACACGACGCTCACAAACCGGCTGTTGAGCTAGCTTATTATCATAGCTTACGTGTTTATAAGGGACTAGTATTCTTGCTGGTATGTGTTAAGAATTATTTCTGTAAGGCATGGTGGATTGTTGTTCTGTATCCTTTTCTGATCACAACGTTATTGAATCACTTGCATGTATACCATATTCCAGGGTGTAAGGGAATTTTACGTTGGAGCCTTGTTGTCATGGACTGACCGTATATTAGCCCTTGTACAGTCAGGAGACTTGGTAGAAGCAATTACCTTAGCTACTTCCTTTTACAATGGCACTACATCGCAGACGATTCTTGGACTACCGGATGATGAAGAGAACAGACATGCAATAGTAGGGAAAAGGCTGATGGAATTACTTACTGCCTCCCTCACATTCACGTTCTCAGACGAACGCACGTACGATGGCATGGCGGACGAGCACAGCGGGGATGGCACTACTCTGTTTCGTGATTTGGCATCTGCATGTATCGAAGCGTGTCTCAGTATGAATATAAAAGAGTTCTTATTCGCCGATATATACGAAAAATACGAACAGGCATTGGTCAAGGGAGTATTTCTGGAGGTATTGGGCCCATATATCATTAAGGACAAAATAAAAGATTTACCTCCAGACATAATGAAAGATCTCGTAACTCATTACCGCAACCGAAATATGTTGGATACTGTGGAAAGATGTATATGGCATATAAACCCGCAATGTCTAGATATCGATCAGGTAGTTCAGCTGTGTCAAAGCGAAAATTTGTATGATGCGTTGATATATGTATGGAACAGATCTATGGTTGATTATGTCAGCCCGGCTGTACGACTGCTTCATGTCATTCGAAAAATTTTAATACTGGAAAAGAGTCGGCGCAAGAAAAACAAATACGCTAGTGATGAGATTTCGAACGTAGATGATGGGGACGGCAGCGAGGATTTGGAGACCATGAAGTTCAATGCTTGCAAGTTCTACGTTTACCTAGAAAACATTCTCACAGGACGAACCTATCCAAACAAAGCACCGTTAAACGAAGACGAAGCGAACGAGGCCCGCACTACTCTCTACTCGTTTGTATTTTCGGGCAGATGCGTTGTGTGGCCTCATCACGGTGGTGATCTAATATTGACAGCTGAGGACGAAAAGCGTGGAGAACCAACATATCCATACCTACGCCTATTTCTTCGATTTGACACGAAAGCCTTCTTAAAAGCACTAGAAGCTGCTTTTGAAGATTCATATTTGAATGGAGTTGAAATTATTACGAATGCGGAAGAGTTTTACGATGAAGAGGAAATGCCTGGAATAATCATAAACCGGCAATTACTTGTTAATATTTTACTTGAAGTCATGACATCGAATAATGGTCATTCGGAATTTACTCCATTAGACATTTCATATTTATACAGTTTCGTCGCCCGTAGTCTCCCTAAATATCCGCAATTCTTGTCACTTCCGACGACCGCTATACGCAATATACTAGTGACATTGAGCACGGATACTGATCCACGCACCAGAGAGGAACGACAGTTGGCTGTTGAGTGTCTTCTGTCTATATATACTCCGACTGATGAGGATAAAATGGTTGAATTGTATGAAAATGCTGGGTTCTGGAGAGTGTTAGAACACGTATATAAAGCAGATCAGAAATATGGTTTACTCGTCACTACTTATCTTAAGGATCCAGAAAGACGTCAAGGATTGTTTGATTGTATTCGACAACTCCTGGATCCGCAGAGTAAGCTAAAAGATGAACAAAAAAAAGAAGTATCGACAACCGTTATGTCGATGATTGAAGACATAGTCGACATAGATGGCGAACAAACTGCTCGATTAATACAAACATATTTTAACGGAGAACATGAAATTGTTATAAAGAGGCTAGAATCAACCCCCGTTCGCCTATTTACATATCTACGAGGACTTCTCGAACCAGAATACGAATCACCTATCCATATATATTCTCGAGTGCCTACTGTAGAGGAACAAATCACACTCGCCGAGGTACAGCATTGCATGCCAGTCGTCAAACCCGAAGTTCATGAACAGTATATTGCTCTTATGTGTAAATTCGATCCAGCTGGTGTTTATAACTATTTACAAACTCATCAAGACGGAACATACCGTTTGGAAAAAGTGCTTCCAATATGTGATGCTACTGGTATTGTCGACGCGATAGTATGGATACTGGAGAGAAGTGGTAATGCCTCGGGTGCTCTTGACAAAGTATTAGAAATAGTTCAAGAAAGACGACAAGATATTATTGCGCTAATCGAAGAGAAGAAGAAGTCAGATAGTGACGTATGGTCGCTGTCTGAAAGACAACGTGTTGAGACCAATCTGATGAAGTTAAAGGGAGTCCTGAAAATTGGTATTCAATTGTGTGAAAACAGCTGTCGTCGTGCGACTGCAGCTGTGAATACTACTGACACTAAAGCTCCATCAATTCCTAATAGAACAACCGAGAGTGAGACCGAATTGCTCTGGTTTAAACTTCTGGATACGTTCTTAGATGCAACTAAGGCTATATCGTCAATATTAACAACTCAATTCCCAGCTGTATTACCCGCTAATAAGGATACGCTCGACTCTCCTGCAACCGTTGTCAGGCCCATACTACCCGTGCCAGCCCACATTGCTAATGATCTAATAACGACATTCAAATCTTATGTGCAACTGATTATGCGTTCTTTATTACTATCTACGTCTTCCCCATACGTGTCGTTGCCGAGATTACTACTTCGCTTTATTCAATCTCAATCCAAGAGGAACAGTACAGTGGCGGATTTCCGTGATATTTTCGTTGGCATGATTGATACGTACAAATATGAAGGTCAGTTACTGGCTATGACCAACCGACTGTTTGAAAAGGACTTGTTCGGGGGTGTAGCAGGTGTTGTTCGACAGCGTGGTAAAGGATGGCGTCCTCGCAGGGGGACTTGTGAAGTATGTGGGGGTCAATTCTGGGGTACAGACCTGACCCCGACAGCCTCCTGCACGTCAACAAATTGGAATTCAGACACAAAGCGAATGCCCCATTCATCCACTATATCAAACAATGACAATTCTGCAGATGTCATCCCGAATCTGGCGGCTCTGGAAGAGAATCTTCAGTCGGAAGAAGGCTCATCGAAATCGAACGCGGTTACGGAAACGGATACAGATACGAATGGACCTTCCTCTTCTTCCTCTTCTCTGCAGAACGAGAACGATCTGGTGTTATTCCGATGTGGCCACGGGTATCATCGCAGATGTCTCGAGAGCGATTCTAACACTGATGCAGAGAATAGTGAATTAGAGACGAAGTGTTCTGTCTGTCAGACTGAAAAACGACATGAAAATCTGATATCGCCAGAGATTCGACGAGGATCCATTGAAAGTAGCGTCATATTGAAGAGCAAGGGGAAGGAAAGAGTTGTAAGTTATTTTAAACTATAATTGATGCGACAACATCAACAATTTTTATTTTTTCTTTTGAACTGAATCCTGTGTTTGTATTTGCAGGCCTAATGTAAAAAGCGAATGAGCGAACACGACAAGATGAGAAATAGAAAATGGTTTGTTTTGTAATATATTTTTTTGGCAGCAATTGTAACTTATAATGGAATTGACGATGACTATTCAAATTATTACTCCATCTTTGATTTAACGTCCAGCGAGAAAAAAACAAGATACACCAATACTATTGCATGATATCGGCCTTTTATGAAATAATCAACTCGTGGGTCACGTTTCTTGTTGAGCGGCTATTAGCTTTCTTCTCAAAAATAACTACGTGACTAAGTTATTGTTATTCGTTGGTTTCTGGATGTTACTGGTTTTAATTTTATTCTGCTTTGTTTTATTCATCTTTGTTTTGTAGATTTATCGTTATGTGTATGCTATGTTTTATAATAGTCATTTAGATTTGGGGGAATTTATATACTTGAATAAAGAGCTTGTATTTTAAGTAAGTTGTAATAATCCATAATGACTGGGCAGTAATCCTGCGGCTTTACTAATGAATTGTTTCTGGGCGAGCTTCCAGGCAAGTTGTGACATTGAAATAGGATACTTTTGCCATTGTCTTCGACTAATTAAGCATGTTTCTATTAATTTACAGCTGACGTAAGGACGTGAATTAGAAGACAACCATTAGAATTAGTAGATTCTTCGGATAACGTTTATCGCATGTTACTTCAATCCCGATCACGCAAAAAGAATTGATGTTTAGGCCGCAATAAATACTTGCTTATAACAATTCTATTATGATGTTTTTAGGTGTCAAGCATGGTAAGGAATCTCAATTAGCCTGTTCTCCTGGCCTACTTGAAGTTTTCTTGCTTTGAGTGCAAGATTCTAATAACTAGTGATTCTTTATGACATAAGAAATAAAAGTTGACGACGCTAGACATTTGACTTGAAAGGCTTTGCAGCCAAAAGACTTAAATTATTATTGGTC